TGTCTAAATTGTTTGCTTTAAGAAATAAGGATCTTAGAGATAAGCAAAATTATTTTAATATGCATTTTTAGAGCATTATTATTCCAATTCCTATAAACTAAACTAAATGCAACAGAGCCAATTTCAGGCTGTTATTTACTGAAACTGCTTTTCATTGGAGCAGGGAACGTTTGTAGCTAAAGCTCCAATCTTGAAGGCAAAAATATCAGAGCTTAAAAATTTAAGCACCAATAGTACTCTGCCTTTAATAGGCTCTTTAGTCAGAAGAAAAAATATTTACATCCTAATATAGCCTCTTTCTGGACTTGTGAGATGTGTGTTCTAAAGTATTTATCATCAAAGCTATTTGTCTCTGTAAAGCAGCAGAAAGAGGAAATTTCCTAAAGAGAACCTAGCTAAGAGACGCCCTCCTGCAATGAAGTAGATCAGATCTGTGCAAAGAAGAGTACAAAGCAATAGTTGGGTACCAAAGAGAAAATAGTTCTTTGAAAGTATTTTTTTATTATTATTCTACAGATACATATAATGTGTGTTCAAGAAAGAACATACTTAGCAAAAAGCTTTTTTGGGGAGCGGGGAGAGAAAAAAACATCCTGGGTGATGTGAGAGGAGAAAACATACAAACAAAACAAAACGGACAACAAACAAAAACAGCCCAAATCAACCAAATTTGTTGTCTTCTAAAGCATGTTTTCTTTCAGCAAGAGATGACCACCGTGTGAGGAGTAAATTCCTCTGATCAGCAAGTTGCACTTTATAAATCCAGGAGAGCGAATCACTGACTTGTTTGGAAGACAACTCTTATTCATAGCCCCAGAGTCACCGTTATTTTTGCCCCCAAAAAGGGCACCTCCTAGACTTCCACAGATTTGCCTTTTGAGGGAGAAAAAGTTGTAAACTATTGCCCAAGGGTATATAGTTTGGATTCATGTTAAACATTTTTCACAAACTACCTTACGAATGTGTTTTGAAGCACCTCAGTGGCCCAGAGCAAGCTCTACCTTTAATGTGAGAAGACAAGGTAACAAAAAGTCTGTCACACACACACACACACACACACACACACACACACACACACACACCAAAATTTTCAAAAAGTTTGCGGTGAGGGGGAAGGAGAGAAGGAAAACAAACGTTATTTCTAATGAACAAACCATAAATTTTACAAAAATATAACAAAAACAACATTTTTGCCCTAGTAGAACAGTTTCTGTTGTAGAATAAGGGAAACTAAAGTAAAACTTTTGAGTAGAACCAAACATTGAACAAATTGTAGAAAAATAATAGTGTTAAATATTGTACATTCTTTTAAGGCTTGTATGATACAGTCAATGTAGTTGCCTAAGTTCACTATTCTGTTAATATGAAAATAGCTACACTGTAGTACTTCATTATTTGCAATATAATAACTGATCATTCATAATATATGGCTCAACGGTCCAGGAAAAGCCCAGCTAGCTTTCCTAAGTACAATAACCACACATAAATCATGTAACAACTCAAATCCATGCCCTAAATTTTATTTTCAAAAATTGATATTTTTCCCATATTCAAATGCATATAAAATTAAGAAAAAAACACGTAACTAAGATTATCCCCTAAAACACGAATAGAACAACCTTTGGGGATTTTCAAGATCTTATTTTTGTAACAATAACTTAGTAAAAAAAATTATTGGCAAGAGCAATTGAAATGCATCATATATTTTAATGACTCAAATATTTATTTCTACTCCTTTTTGCATCAAGACTGTGGGAAATTTTTATTATAGCGATCAGATGGCGCACTGATGTGAGAAATGTTGCAAAGCATCCTGTTGATTGCTTCTAATTAACTGCAATGCTCTTGTGTTCTCAGTTTTAGCCGGCACACACTACACAATGCCTTTTATTTTGCTTTGAATGGATTTTTACTTAAAAACAGCTGATCTCAATATCCACAGCATTTTGGCTTTTTTTTTTATCTCAACATTTTCCTGGAATATTTTCTTTTCAGTTTTAAAAGATAAATTTGAAAACATTTCTAAAGCATAAAGTATAATCAGTTAAATTAACAGCACTCGTGTGGTCTTTCACATGTATTTTGCATGTTCTATAGTACGTGATTACATTCTCAAACCACATTTCAATTCCTCTTTAAAAGTTATACATCTGAGCAATGGTTTAAGAAGGAAATTCTGAAAAGCAATTTAGAGCATGCGGCTAATTTTTAATTTTTTTTTTTTTTTTTTTTTTTAGTTTTTGTTAGCAGACTATTAAATAGCGCAGAGCTGAAACATAGGACCCAAGCAAGGGGATGGGAAGGATTTCAGAATTAAAAGTATTAAATAAAATTCTTTGCACTCACCTTTCTCTGATGATTTAAGCTCAAACAGCCCTGACAGAGAGAAGTCATGAATTTTCATCAACTTCACACATGTCATACATTTAAAAACATTTTGATTTGCCCTGGGACCCCTGCATGTCTCTGAAAGCACAGTAACAGTGCTGTGCTGGTTTGAAAGTACAAACCCTCTGAACTCCCAGAGCTCTAGAAGATATATTACTAATGTAAACAGCCTCTTATGTGAAAAAAAAAAAAGAGCATTAAATAACAGGAAGTTTCCAAGGAAATGCAGACTTTAAAATAGAGTATTATTAGAAGCAGTACACTTTCTATAATTTTAAGTGCCATAATTTTATCCGTACACTAGCTTTCTGAGAACATATAATTATCTGACCCAAGAAACAACCCTTTTGGAAAGGAAAATTTATAACTTAAATATTAGAGCTAAATTATTAATTTAGCCTAGTAGATGTTGAAAGTGATTAAATAGTCCTTCTTTTGTGCATATGGGGATAAAATGTGACTCAGGTGAGCAGAAACGCCACAGTTTCAAAACAGCTACCAACATCCTAATATTTCCAGGAGGAAGGCTAAGTATATTAAATAAAGTGCAATAAAGACAGAATTTTGCCCGAAATAACATGTCCCCAGGATTATCCTCCAAATACTTCTCTCTTGAAATTGTGAGAAAGCATAAAGACAAGGTGAGAAATAAACATTAGGAGGGATTAATAAGGGCCAAGTCGTAAATCATATAATGATATAAATAAAGTGACATTACAAATAACTTACGTTGTGCCCTCAACTTTACAGCTGAGGAAAATGAAGCCCAGAAAGGTAAAGTGACCTCCCCAAGGTCTTTCAAAGACTAAGACATAAAGCTGAACTAGAGGCAAGTCTCTCGACTTTTGGTAGCACTCTTTCTACGACACCACACAGTCTTTGAATTGAGCAACAGAACCGTCAGCTCAGGTGGGTGTCAATCATACAGTAAAATAAAACAATGAGCAATGCTGTCTTCACCTGAAAAAGTATCCACAGAGCAGACAAAATTAATCCGTGATCTTCACCCAGTGCTCACACTCATCTTCTTTAAAAAGATGCCTCTTTGGAAAATATCATTATGCCTTCCTTTTTGCTTAGGGTTTGAGGATTTGTACCTATTTAATAAAATAGCACTCGTTAGAACTCTTCTACCGGGGGCGGGGCGGGGGGTAGAAAATGTTCATCAGCAAGAGAAGAGGGGCGGTAAAAACCACCACCAGAAAGTCTCACTGTTACTAGTTTGTCCCACTTCTAATCCATTCTCCTGTCTGCAGACTGCATGGTTTTTCTAAAATGCACATCTGATTATGTTTGAAGATTTTCAATGACTTTCCATCTGCTGCAAGATAAATCTACACTTCTTAGTCTGGCATTCAAGGGTCTTCAAAATGTTTAGCCCATAGCACCCCTTCAGTTTTACTCCTAACAGTCTCCTCACACTTCCTACTCCGGCAGTACAACCTAGGTATGATTCCCTGAATGGAAACGGAATATGCTTTTCACTGCCTCTGGGCCTTTGCACATACTTTTTTCTCCACCTGGACCTCTGTTTCTCCTTCAAGAGTGAATTCAAGTGTTACCTTTTCTCCTTCTGCCATGTGCAGATGCTTCTTCTCTTGGGATCCCATTGCATTTTGCACAGACCTTACATTACTCCACTCATTACACTGAACTGTACTTGTCTATTTTCATGCTTGTCTCTCCAAACACATTGTCTTTGAGGTCAGAGACATATCTTTTTCTCCATGCGTAGAACTTTGCCTGGTGTAAGCACTCATGAATGTTTACTGACTGAATAAATAAATCAATAAATAGGCCATACATTTTTCTTATCATAAAATCTTTATGTCTTAGGGTGATACTGCCTAGTTCTTCCATATAATGCTTAAACTGGATATGCATTGACAACAGGATATTTGTATCAACCTCCGTTTTTGGTTTCTATCAAAAAAGTATAATGTTATAAATACTCTTTCACTATAGTGAGTTGACTTTGGCATGAACTTGGTGACAAAATACCAACTCCTATCTACATGTGAATAAAAAAGAGAATTCTTCGGACAACAGCGGGTCATCATTGTTCCAGACAGTGCTAAAGAAGATTTCCTTTTAGGGATCCATTTCGTGTTAGGAACACAAGTCGAAGGATGACTTATAACCCACTAAGAGTATAAATGTATATTTGGATATACAGGAAGCAATACCCATATCTTCACGCCAAGTGAGTGCTTTAAAAGAGGACGTTTAGTCTTAAACAAATGAAATTTAGATTTGAGATTTAACTTATTTAGGGTTCTGTTGCTGTTTGACTCCTTCCAGTGTCCTCATCCTGCTGAGCAAGTGCTACTGAGATGCAAATAAACTCTTAGGGAGCCGCTCAGGTGAAGCCAGGGAATGTCCTTGGTATATATGCGCACATTTTCCTCTTGAAATAATACCCTCATACGCATTGATGCAAGGCTTCACATTCAAAATGGAACAGAATCTGCCAGTCTAGTCTTTTTCAACATGTCCATAATCGTGAGCCAGGGCCCCAAATCAATGAAGAGAGACTCCAGTATTGTTTGGACCAATGTAAGGCAGAGGGCATGCCAACCCTGAAGCTACTTTCAATCTTTTGATTCCCCTACCTCCACTCCACTGGTTCCATGGTGCCCCAAGCTGCAGCCCCTACTCCAATGTGAGGGGTGCTCTCCAAGGGATAGGAGCTGGGGACACAGTAGCCATTGCTCTTGCATAACAGATTCCTCTTGGCCATTGTACCACCTTCCCTAGAGCAGCCCTATGTGGCTTTATCATTAACAATCAACACTAGTTCTTAAATTATTTTCTAGGCGATGAGACCACACTGGCCAGTTCCCATCCCCACTCCCCCAAAAATGATAGGATTTTGCGACCTTCTGGTCCCCTTACCCCTTCAGAAGATGGCTACCCTTTAGCATTTTTAAAGGTCTTGAAAGGTGAGTGTGCCATAGAAAGCTGAAGTCTGGAATGTAAAAAGAGATTAACTAAGGATTTTCCAAGTCACTAATTCTTAGGGTTCATTTTGTGTTACATCTAAGCTTTGGGGGTTTATGTTTGTTTTAAACATTGCAGTATTACCTCAAACAGTTTTCATTTGAATAGGCAGGGAAATGTAAGCGATTCCTCTCTTGCTAACTAGCACAGAATGGGGCTCCTTTTCTGGCATTTTGAGTCAAACTCACGTAGAATTTTAATAATTTTTTGTTCACATAAAAAAATGTTAATACCCCTTTTTCTTTTTATTTTTGTACATCAGAAAAGATTACAAGGTAAATAGTAAAAATGTTTCACAAATTCATTTGTTCAGCAAACTTATTGAACAACTGTTATGTGCAAAGCACTATACAAGATACTAACCAAGAGACACACAAAGGAAAAAAAAAGAATATGGCTATTTATAGCTCTAAATTTAAGAATGTGAAATGTGACCACTATCAAATCACACAGGCTTAGAATTTCCTTCTGTCCACTTGCTATCTGTTCTCTTAAAAGAAAAAGGTCTCTGGCAGGAGGTATTAGTCAAGTTAGAAAATGTTCATCAGCATAAATTCTAAGTTTATAACTTAATAAGCAAGAAAAGCTATCTATGTCTTCAAGTTGGGTGCAGCCATTTGAAAGTTCCTCCCAAACTTGTAAAAGGACATTGGCTTTGGTTTTCTTGAGGGTCTGAAATGAATCCATTACATTAAAATGGCTCTTAGTAGCAAGAGCAAGTAATTATTTGCATTATAAGCTAATAAAATGGAGGGTTAGGCATATTTGTACAAGATCTTTTTTTACTCATTTTTATAGAGATTCTCTCCCATTCCTGCTTAAATGAACTTGGAAGATTGTTCATCATTCAGTATTGTTTAAATTATAAGGCACATATCAGTCATCTGGTTTTTAAATATTTTTCCCCTTTGCTACTGTAGATGAGTAATGTCTACCTTCATTCTTTAAGAATACACTAATGTAATGATAGTCTAATTTTGGCAAAAAATTAAATTAGTTTTTTTTATATCTCACATCTAGAGATGTCCTGACATATTGGAAAATACAATATTCTTCTAAAAATACACTTTGCTAGCCTTCCTGAACACTCATACTTCCATGAATTGTACCTGTCTGTTCAAAAAGTGCAACAAAGCCTCTCACAAAGGCAAATCCCCTGGAGAAAACTTCACTGATGAAGTCAGTCTACTTACTTTTCATGGTACCTACTGGTAAAAGCTATGGCTTTATCCTCAATCATGATAGTTCATTCCAGATCCCAAAGCTGTTTCTGATGGAAGAGTATGAGAAAAGGGCCTAACCTGCCAACAAAGGAGACCCAGCAAGTCTCGTTTCACCCTATGGTTCCTTTATGTTAGACTTCTAGATTTTACATCCTCAAGGAAAAAATGCTAATGTTTAGAGTGAGATGTATTTTACTTTTACAACGTCCCTGTATGCCAAATACCTACTTGTTTCAATTTGAGGTAGGAAAAGACTATTTTTATATAATCTCAATTTTATATAATTTCTCTGAAAGTTGGGTGCCTAAGCCTTATTAAGTTAGCAATAATTTCTCTATGAAAGCAAATGTGAACAGGCAGAAGTTTGTTCTATTGACAAGAAGTTATAATCTTCCAAATCTTATTGAAAGCTCTTGATTTTCCCCCCTACTACTGATAAGGGACACTTTTCCTGATTTTTGTCCCTGTTAGTAATGAGAGTCCATTTCAAAATTGGCCGTTTTCAAAATTGGGACTATCAAGTAAAGCACTTACAACTTACTTTTCAAGGAAACTGCTTGAGGGCTCCTGTGTCATTCCCCTCCCTGCCCTTCCCACTAGTGAATTCCCCCAGAGGGATTTTTTACAGATATGAAGTGGAGAATTTAGAAACAGGGCTGATTGGTGGACCCTCCTGCTGCCACTAAAGTTTTCCAGATACCTTCTAGATGCTACCGTAGGATTACATGACTGATTCACTCCTCTCCTTGTCTGCTGGCAGCTAAATGGGAATACTGGCGAGCTGCCAGAAGGGTAGGTAGCCAACCTGCTTGCCCTTGATTGTGACTGCCTGCTTTTAAATAACAGAAGTAGGGTCAAGTAAGTGAAATCACGAACTGAGGAGAGTATTCTGAGAATGCAAAGGCAGTTAATGTCCTTCCAAGCCTCAGATGGCTGGCAACCCTTGGCAGAGTAATCTATGATTTGTGGCACCTGACCCTTCCACTGTGACTGTTATCTGTGTATTCACTAGAAACATATTTACAGAATCTCTCCATTAGCAAAGATGCCTTGTGTGTGATTACCCAATTGTCATGGTCACACTAGGGTTTTGATACAGTTCTATTCAGAAATGAAAAACTGCCCTAAACTGCACACAGGATTGATTTAAATCAGGGAGCCTCAATCTATAGATCAAGACTTCTTTGGGTAGATCTCAAAGAGATCATCATACTCTTGCTCCCCCTTCTTCCTTACCCCAAGACCACATTCCCACCCCCTCCCAGCCACGGCAAGACAGAATCTCCTTTATTCCCCTGAACCCTTACAAATTCTTAATAAAGTTAAGAAGAGTTAGCAATTAGAATTATCCAAAAAGATGAGCCTGTTTAAAATGGACTCCATCCCAGAAAATATTGGAAGAGAGCACTACTTGCTTAAACTAGTTAGCATTGCTCACATTTATATAGTACTTAGCGTCAGAAAAGTACTTTCTCTTCATTTAAAATGTTTTAGTTACAAAGGCAGAGTGAGGTTGTAGGCTAGCTTTCATTCTTACGGAATCAAATACAAAGAACATTAAAATTCGTTTTTCTCTGACACGTGACAATGAGAACACTTGCTATTTAAAAGTTTATTGGGAAGTTTAAAAGGTGGCATCTCCCTTTCCCCCTCAAATAAATGGCATTGAGGTCCTCCCGTGCCAGAAAATTTCTCTAGTTAACACCCTATGTTGGCTCCCACCTTTGTATTAACTGATAAAGGCGAAGCAGTATTTTAGGGAACCGAATCAAACTCACTAGGAGCAAATAAGTGGTTATGAATCAAAATGGAAAAGCGATAACCCAGACTCATTGTCATCATGTGTCTCCCAAATGAGATTTTCCGAAAAATATAAAAGTAACAAAGTCGCACCAGATAAATAAATGAAGGCGATAAACTCACCACAGATCAAGCAATACTACTAAGGTGACCTGACTTGACAGTAACCGCAGGCGACCCTTAGGAACTGCATCGGGGTTAAATGCCCTGAGAACTGCCGAGATCCGGACGACCCGGGCCACTGACCCTCCGCAGTCCGTCAGCCGGCGGCGCCCAGAGGCCCGCGCGCTCTAGGCCACAGGGGCCGGTCGAGGAGAGGCTAGAGGCCGGCCGCGGGCGCTTCGGGCCCGGAGGACCGCCGGAGTCAGGCCGCTTGAGGCCGGACGCCGGCCGGCCGGGTCCCCGCGCAGAGAAAGCCCCGGCCGAGGAGAGGCCACCGCCCCCCACCTCCCGGGGCCGACTGTGCGCGCAGCAGGCCGCAGGGCCAGAGCGAAGCCCGTGCGGAGGCCGCAGTGAACCCTAGGGGCAGCTCCGGGACGGACGCCGCGCTCGGGCTGACCACGCCGTCTCGGCAGTCGCCCTGCAGCGGCGCGGGCGCCAGGCGCCTTAGAAGAAACTCGGCTGCAGGAAGCCAGACGCCGGGCCGGCGCCCACCGCCGGGAGCCCACGCAGGCTGTGTGGCCAGCGAGTGTGGGAAAGCTCGGCGCGGGAGCGGGACGTAGGCGCTCTGTCGGGGACATGGGGACTCCCGGAGCTTGGGCGCCCCTTGCAGCTGGGAGTCATCTCGACGCATTTCTTCCCAGGCGACCTGAATTCAACCCCTGTGAAGATGCTCCAGGCATTAGCGAGTAACAGGGGGAGGGGGGGGGGGGGAGATTATTTAAGGGGGGGAGGGGCGGGCGGGAGGAGTAGGAGGAAACCGTACAGAAAAGAAATCCCCATTACCACCAAAACCGTTTCTGAGAAGTCCTGAGGTTTTACGCATGGAGATTTCACTTTAAAGGCTGAAAAAAAAAATATTCCACTGCTTTTAATTGAAGTAAACAAAGTGCAACAAATCCTAACTCAAATATGATTGCAGTGAGATTAGGGTCTAATTGCTTAGGGTTCAGGTGGAATCTGCGGGCTAAATCCTACAGGGCCAATCTGAATTTCACAATCATTCTGTCAAAAGGAGAGCGATGAGAGCCCACACGCTTCCTAACAAGTCATTTTTAACAGTTACAAGCTTCGCACAAAGACCACACAGGGCGCCTAAGAGATGCAAATCTAATCCCTGGTCATTCTACGGGCCTTCAACAAAGATGTGCTAAACCCTAATAGAAAAGAAATCAGTTCTCTGTCACCAGCCCCTAGTAAAATCTATTAGAGAATGGACAGAGCCTCATCTACAGCAGTTGCTGCAAAGGTTAAGGACAAGTACAAATAAGAGGGACCCAGTTTTGTTTTCCGTGTGAAATATCGGGAGAAGCTAACCCCAAATGAGTGACGGGATTCGATCCGTGGCTTCGCATTCATTTGAACGCTAGAAAAAAGTAAACACACACATTAAGACTTTTGAAGAATCCGTTTCTGAATTTGGGAGAGATGAAACAAATTCCCCCCAAAGTTGAAATCTTTGCCTCCGAAATTATCGAAGAATATAAAGGGGAAAGAGAGGCGAACGCGCGGGTCCAAGAGGGAGGAGCCGGGCTTCTGGAACCGGCCGGGCTGACTT